CATGATGTAATTCCAGTGTCTTTAACTCTTCCATAAAACAAAAGTAACTGAAAGAATGTGGTTTAAGCTTTGTGAAATATGAGTATGCAAGACATGAATGAATTTATTGAAGGTGGATAAGTGAATGCTAAAAAAATTATGAAATTGGGTGCTGAAATGGCAATTCTGGTTCATCACTTTTTAATGCTCTTTACTGTCATAAATTTGCATCACGTCTCCTGGATTAAAGATGGGAGTTTTTCAGTGGCAGCCCCTGTGCAGGATTAAACAGAGGAATTGTACTTAGAAACCTCTTTCCCAGAGTGACAAATTTTACTGAGAAATCTCTTGTGGGAAGTTATTTCCCCACCCCATGCAGAATATTCCATGGAATGACCACTGATGCACTTCCCTGTCTTCATGAACTCAATTCCTTCTGGAGCTGGGATTTGGTGTTCATAGAATTGGAGTTTGTGAGAGAGTCAAGGGATGGTTTGGGTTGGAAGGGACCTTAAAGATCATTTTGTTCCACCCCCCTGCCATGGCAGGGACACCTTCCACTGTCCCAGGTTTCTCCAAGCCCCAATGTCCAGCCTGACCTTGGACACTTCCAGGGGTTTGGGGCAGCCACAGCTTCTCTGGGAATTCCATCCCAGTCCCTCCCCACCCTCACAGATGAGAATTTCTCCCTAATATTCCCCCCTAATCTCCTCTCTTCTAGTTTGAAGCCATTCCCTGTGTCCTGTCCCTCCATCCCTTGTCCCCAGTCCCTCTCCAGCTCTCCTGGAGCCCCTTTAGGCCCTGCCAGGGGCTCTGAGCTCTCCCTGGATCTTTTCTTCTCCAGGTGAACATTCCCAGCTCTCCCAGCCTGGCTCCACAGGAAATGGTTTTTTTTTATATTCTATGATCACAGATTTGATTATCTGGGTTCTGCAGGGCCGTGTTCAGTTTTCTGAGAACCAAACCGTGCTGCTGATGGCAGGAAATGTCATTTTCTGGCTTCCTCTTCCTTCCAGGTGGTTTTCTCTTGAGGTTTCCCTGTAGCTCAGTGTTCAAACCTGCCCCCCAGCTTGTGATGGGAAATAAAAGCAATTTGTGGTTCAGAAATAAAATCAATTTGGCTGCTCTGAGAGTGTGCAACTGTTTAAAGGAGGTAATGGGGGGAAAAAAAAAGGCAATTTCTTGGTCACCCTCAAAATCCCACAGAGCTGGAAACCAGGATTGCCTCACTTGGGTTTTTCAAACCTCCATAATTGTCTTTGGATCTGAAAATAATTTATATTTGTGTATGAACAGCTTTTCCAGAGCCAGATATATTAATTTATTCCCAAACTCAACTGTTCTGCAGAGTTTTTATGTTAAATTTTTTCTTGTTTCAAACAGTGTTTCCTGCTTGAGCCTTTCTGGGAAGGGCTCAAGTTATGTTTGAGAGCTGCTGTTGAGTGCTATAGACTGCTCTTGTAAGGAACCACTCTGGGAAAAGTTTCTCTCAGGCAAAAAGAGCCTGAAAATGTTTATTTTAATACTTGATGGTTGGAATTTCAAAAATCTGTAGGTGGAAATTCCCATGTGAAAAACTTGAAGCCATTCAAAAGTGAAAAAGAGGTGTCTTGTATTCATTTATTGCAGTACAAAATAGTATTCATGTGATTATTATTTAAAAAAAATATATCTCTGCGTGTGGATTCAGTGAATGGAGCCTCATCAGGCTGCTTAGTGAAGAATTAAGGAATTGCTCCCAGATTTTCCCAGTGAGGATTAACCCTGGCATTGCTGAAGCCACAATGGGAGCCTTTATCTCCCCCTCACGTTTCGTTTCTTCCTTCAGGCAGAGCTTTGTTTGGGAGGGCAGCCTGACTGGGTCTGTGTGCATTGGATGAGCTGAAAAATGTGGATTCCTGACAGGTGTAAAATGTCTGGGAATACTGCAGAGGTTGAGGAAGGAGGCTGCTGTGTGTGGTGACACTGCTGTGGTTAAGTCTCAGTTCATGAAAACTGAAATCTCACCTTTCACCCTCCATTGATGGGATGTAGACTCCAAAGTCAGTCTCAATTGTCATGAAACACTGAATTCTGTGTGACTTGCAGGCACTGTTGGACTTCTACTACTCAGAATTTTGGTTTTCCTGGTATTTTTGGGAATTATTTTCCACTAAACAAGTTCTATACCCTTAGAACACTCCAACCTCTTTATTCAAGCTGATGGATCATGAACACCTCAGGAATTCAGCACACAGCTGGCTCCTACCTGGAACAGCTATTTTAGGAGGGCAAACAGCAGCTGAATGGCACAACTGGGTCTTGCACTACTTTTGTGGTTTGGTCACACGAGCTGAGCTGTCTGTGTTCCACACAGGGGATGGAGGAGCTTTGGGGAGGGGTGATCCAGCATGTCCAGTGCCTCGGGGAGAAACTGGGATCTGTGGGTGCCTTGGTTTGAAAGACAGGTGCCTGCTAAGCAAGGCAGGAGCCTCTCCTGAAATGGAAAATGTAAACCCCCTCCCTCCAAATTATTATCATTTTGAAATTAAGGGGCTCTCAGGCAAAGATATGGGAATGGGAATAACAGTTCTTTACTAGGAAAATTAAAATAAAAATACAGTAATATAAAATAAAAAACTGGCAGACTCAGAATACAGCCTGTGAGGGTGATGGTAGGGTAGAAATTTGATTAAATGGTGGCTGCATCCTCCTGCAGTGCCAGATGTGGTTCTGCTGGAGCAGGGCTCCTGCACAAGGTGCAGTTTTCCTCCAAAGCTGCAGGGATGATGTGCAAGGCTCTGGTTTTCCTCTGGGATCCAGTGGGAAAAGGCTGCTCTGCTGTTCCAAATCTCCCCTTTGATCTGGGTAGGAAATGCTCGGCTCCTGCCCTGGCTGGAGCATCTCCCAATGGGATGATGGAATTTGATCAGCCCTGCCCTGGGACTGCATGGCCATGAACAGGAGAGATCTCCTGGAGGGAGGATGGGCTGTGGGGAAGATAAAGAACACTGCCCCACATGATTTTAATGGCCCATTAACAGGAGATATCTCCTGGAGAGAGGATGGATTGAGTAAAGGATAAAGAACACTGCCCCACATGATTTTAATGGCCCATTAACAGGAGATATCCCCCTCTGGAGATCAGGATCACTGCCCCAGCTGGTTTTTAGCAGCTGGTGGAATACATGCTGCTGGTTACATCCTGCATTGCAGCCTAAGGCAGTGAGGAGCTGGGATGAGGGAGCTGGAGATGCTCTGAGCTGTTCTTTTGGGATGTTGTCCTGCCAGATGTGCACAGAGGGGATGTTCTGCAGGATTCCCACTCAGGGGAGCTCAGGGAGGGCCAAGTGAGGGAAGTCCAGTGGGAATCTGACCTCCTGATTATCTTCTTTATTGAGTTTTCCTGCTGTTCACCTTTCCTTGCCAATGTCAAGGTGTCATCACCCACCTGTGTGCCCTCCTCTCACAAAGGTGAGAGCTGATTGTCACTGCCAGGGCTGTGGATGCACAGTTTTCCTGCAAATCTCTTACAGCAAAAGTTTCAAAATTGGCTTTGGTACCTTTGGAGTGTTACTTGCCCTGTGGGGAGATTATTTCAAGGTGATTTTTCTCTTTATTTTCATGGCTTGTGCATTCTGTGGTCTGAGGGATGGAAAATTCAGAGTAGTTTAGAGGTTCTAAGTAAACTGTGGAGGTGTTTGCAATTGTCTGTCACGTTCTCACCTGCCAGCAGTTGGTGTGGAAATGATTTTTGGGCACAGCAAGCACTCGTGGTGTGTCTGTAGTGGAGGGCAGCACAGAACCAGGAGCTGTTGTGATCTGAGCCACTGCTTGTGCTCACAGAGAATTGGGACCAGACTAAAAACCACTGCCTGTGGCTGGGTCACCTCACCCAGCTCTGGTGACAGATCAAAGAGTTCCCTTCTGTGCTCAGAAACTCTGAAATGTATTGTTTCATGTTTAATTTCCACCTGAATTTCATTTACTGCCTGTTTGCATCTGTTGTTTCTTTCCCAATTTGTCCTTGCCAGCTTTTTTTCCACCCTCCAGGTCAAAACAGATCTTGGAGCAGTGAAGTCTATTTTTTCCCCCCCTCCCATCTCCTTTTCTTTTAAGCCTTTTTTTTTTGGTTGAATTCTTATTTGCTTTGTAGAGCTAAACTTTTGTGGTCAGTATAACACACAGAGAGGATCTTTGCTTTTGGCTGAGTCAGTTTATACATATATATATATATATATATATATATATATATACACTCCCAGTGTGCACTGGAGGTCACTACTTCTACTCCTCTGTGCTCTCAGCAGACCTAAATCCATGTTAATCCCATGAAAACTTGGATTTGGGATCTTTGAGGCTTATGGGGCACAGGCAAACACTGTATTTCTTCTTGATTTTCCAGATGTAGGAGGAGAAATTCAAAGTTGAGTTACAATGGATGTCTTTGTCCCAGCTTGCTTGCAGGGATGGGTATCAGAGGGGGATTTCTGCTCCCTGTAGTCAGTGTGGGCAACAATTCAGCACAGTTTGATGTGGAATAAGCACCAAGTTCTATTTTTTAAGAGATTTCTCTTTTACCACGTGCACAGCAAACTGAGCCCCCACTTTCCTCATTTGGAGAACTGAAGCTGAAACGTTAACAGTAACCAAAACCAGCCCTCGGTAAAACATTGATTTTAATTTTAAAAATGAAAAATGGCATTTTTAAATACCACCGTTTATGCTAATTGATGAAATTTGGGGTGTTGGAAGTGTCCAAGGCCAGGTTGGACAGGGCTTGGAGCACCCTGGGATAGTGGAAGGTGTCCCTGGCCATGATAGGGGGTGGGGATTTTAAAGGTATTTTAAGGTCTCTTCCAACCCAAGCCATTGTGGGATCCTGTTTTTCCATCCATCTCTCACATCCTCACACACAATTGGAAAATCTGGCCTCGTTAGCCCAAATTTTCAGCTCACACTCCATTTCCTGCTCTCAGCCTGTGATTTGTTGACATTAAAAACCCTGGGTTTTTGTGTTGTTTGTTTTTTTTTTTTTTTAGAAACAGAAAAGATCCCTGTAATGCGTGGGCAGTGGTTTATTGATGGCACTTGGCAACCTCTGGAAGAGGAGGAAAGTAATTTAATAGAGCAGGAGCATCTCAACCGCTTCAAAGGCCAGCAGCTGCAGGAGAGCTTTGATATGGAAATATCCAAACCCGTTGATGGAAAGGAGGGTAAGATTGTTCACATCACTGTAACACATTTTTTGGACACTTTTGGGGTCTGATTTTCCTGAGTAAGAATGTGATCTGTGTTGGTTTTGCATCCTGTAAAGTGGGGAACATGGGTTTGTTCTTCCATTTTTCCAGTGTAGGATTTCTTGCTGCAGCACGTTTTTGGGGAATGCTGTAAAAATGAGAGTCATGGAAAAACTTCTTGTTCCCATTGTGTCTCACATCTTTTAATTGTGTTTGAAATCTCACTTCAAACTCAAATCTCTTGATGGGACAAGAGGAGTCAGTGTCCAAAGACAAGCTGGCTGATAGCTCTCTGGCCAGCATCCCTAATTCTAAAATCCCTAATTTTAAAATCCCTAAAGGTAGTGGAGTCATTTTCACAAACCACATTCCGTTTTCCATTTTTACTCAGGCTGGATTTATTAGTTTTCAGCTGCAGTAAATCTTGGGCATTCATTCTGTTGGGGAAGTCCTTGCATTTGAATGAGCAGGCTGAGGATGTCCAGGTAGTGTTGCTGGAAATCTTGCTCTGCTGCATGGAATGTTTCTAAGGACAGATTTCTGAAATTAGTGGTCAATTATTCAATATACACAGCTGAATTGATTGCTCAGAGCAGGTATTGCACACCAAAAATTCAGTATTTTTGCCATTCACACTTTTGGCTGTCACTTGCTCAAACAAACTACAAGCTGCAAGTACAGAGGGGCCCTGAAGATATTTTAATAGGGATTTGGCTGTGTTGTTCTTTACAAAGAAACTTTATTTTTGAAGTGCAGCTTTGTGCAAAGTGTAGGAATGGCTGTGTTTTGGCCATGAGTTCTTATGTGTGAACTGCACGACCACACAAGTAAAACTTTGTTAATAAATTGGAAGCACAGCAATACTCGGGGTAATTCTGTAATCACTGGAAGGAAAACCAAAGTGTCATTTGTTGATTTAGGGAGTTTTTTCAGCATTACAAAGAGTTTCTAACTCCCTTTTAAAATTAGTGAGGACTTCATGAATTTTTTTTTTTCCCCTGTTCATGCTACTTTTCACCTGGCCAAGGCTGCAGAACAATTTTCTGCTTCAACAGCTCTGTCAAAAAGGTTCATGGAGTGGTGTGACCCCTGAGCCACAGCACTGTGCCTGTCCAAACATCCTTCTGGAAGGCACTTCCACCTGTATTTCTGATTTATTGTCCCAGAGGCACAAAACTCAGGGTTGTTAGTGGCAGGGATTTATGGTTTTTTGTGGTTCCTGAGTGCTGCCAGCTTTTGGTAGTTTAATTTTTGAAGGAAGGATGGCTTCAGTGCTACTTGGATTCTCCTTATAAATAAGAGAGATCAGGGCTGGGTTTTTTTCAGGTCAAGTCTGGACTATGGAACAGAAATTTTCAGATTTGATGTTTGGATGGATTGGGGAGAGTGATGAGAAAGATACGACCACTGAGATTTAGGAAAATGTAAAAGAGCCAAAAAAGAAACTCCAAATTCAGGCGCCAATGCCTTTTCTAAAATCAAAGTTAAAAAAGAAAAAAAGGAAGAAAAAAACCAAACAAAAACCTAAACAACAAAAAAAAAAACAAACCAAAACAAAAAAAAAAACTTAAAAAACCCAAGTTATGTATGGCATCACTTCAATGGAATATGTCAAGTCACCAGTAAGTTTCAACAGGGTTTTTTGGTTGTAATAGTAGAGTTGCAGGGCAGTTACAGCTGACAGTGTGTGAAAAGTGGTTTTGTCATTCTAATTTTCCTCTCAATACCTCTTGGATCCTCTGGCACCCACAGTTGCCATCTGCAGTGGCACTGGGAGAAGCTCTGCAACTTGCATTATTGCTGGTGAAGTAAACATAATTAGCTGAATTCAGTTTATAAATTTCTTAAATGCTGCAGTTCGTTGTAATTGCATCCTGTATGAAACAGTTTTTGGTGCCATCGAGGTTTACAGGTACCTGTTATTTATGATCAGTGAAAGCTGAGATAAATCTCAGCAAAGTGCCTGTTCCCAGTGCTGTGTGAGGCATGAAAAACGTCCTCTGGTTCCTCAGCAAAATTAATACAAGCTGCTCTAAGAGTCCCTTTGTACTCAGAATTACTGCAGTGATTAAATTTATTAATTCTGCTCCTGGATTGCAGCGAAATCACCAAGCTTCACCAGGGGCTTTTGGAGGTGCTAAGAGGGATAATGGCCCATTATTAAACTCCTAATCCGAGCAAACCTTCCTCTGAAAGTGCAGAATTATTCGGGATAAGGGTCCCCAGCCTGCAGCCTGCAAATACCATCACACCCATGCTGATGTGTTGTGTTTTTTGGGAACACAAGGAGCTTTAAATGCAGGAGGGAACAGAAAGATGACAGTGAATGATTCCCCCAATTCCATGGGACAGCCTGGAGATCACTCCTTTGCTGAGCAAACTGTAACTGCATTTTGATTTTCGTCCTTACAGATTATTCAATTTCATGCCTTGCAAAATGAACTTGGTTTATGATGCCAGGTCCCCTTCAGAGCATCAGATAAATCATTATTTTAATGGCAGGATGCAGAAAAAGGGGCACTTTGTGATCCAAAGGAGCTTGGCCAGCAGCTCAAGGGAAGGGATTCTCTCCCTCTGCTCTGGTGAGAACCCTCTGGAATTCTGTGTCCAGCCCTGGAGCCAGGCTGGGAGAGCTGGGAATGTTCCCCTGGAGAGGAGAAGGATCCAGGGAGAGCTCAGAGCCCCTTGCAGAGCCTAAAGGGGCTCCAGGAGAGCTGGAGAGGGACACCCATGCAGCAGTGAATGAGCTTAAAATTCACAGAACGTCTGAAGATTTGGAAACTGCCTTTTCTCCGTGCTTAGGCAGACAGTGAGTTCAGGACCTGTGAGGAGGAGCCCATCCAGAAATTCCTGACATAGCCAGGCTGTTGTAGGATCAAACAAGAGCAGTTAAGTTCCTGTCATCCATTGCTCCGTGATCTTTTTCAGGAGAATTCATTTAGTGATGATGAAGTGAAAGCTTTATTTATGTGAGAGGATGGTAGGAACAGACACAATGCTTTGTAGTTGCACGGAGAGATGGTGAAAATTGAGCTGGAAATCACCCAAGCAGCCTGATTCAAGCCTGGAATTGGATCTGACTTTAAAGTTGATCCTGATCTGTGTAGAGGATTGGGACAGATGAAACCCAGCAGTTCCTCTGCCAGAAAATATTCTGTGATCAAGTCTGTGATTCCATGATAGAAATACAGAAAAAAAAAAAAACCCTTGTCAGTTAGAATTAATATTTCAGTGCATTAATTTTGAGACAGCAGAATTCTATTGGCTTTTTCTTACCGAATTTCAGTGTGTGGTCAAGCCCACAAAACCTCTAAAAATTGCATTTGGAAGAGCTGTTTTTTTGTTTTTTTTTTTTTTCTTTTGGTCTTAGCTTTAAAATATAATTTTCTCACAGTATAAAAAGCTCATAGACATTTTTTTTTTTTGGCACAGCTCAGCGAAGCTGTAGGTGGAGAAGTCGTGTTGATGGAATTGGGGAGTTGTGGGATGTCAGGAGGGATCTCTGGGGATGCTCAAACCCAACGTCCCTGCTCAGAGGCACGGGTGTGATGAGAGCAGCTTGCTCAGGATATTCCCTGTGGGATTTTCAGCATCTCCAACAACAAACTCCACAACTTCTCTGTGCAGCCTGTTCAGTGTTTTACCACCCTCACCATGAAAAACAATTTTTCTTCTACTTTTCTTAAGTTCCCTGTGCTCATTCTTCTGAGGGTTGCATTCCCACAGCCAGTAAAATATTGTAAATTAAATTATTCCATGGAATCCCAACGACTGTAGCTCTGAGCCTGATTTTCTTCTGATTTGCAGAGATAAATACATTTTATTTGCACCTGCACTGAGGGCAGAGCTGTTGGGATAACTCTGGCAGGTTTTTCCATTCCACAAATGTGGAATTTCACTCACTTTGCTGGGTCAGGGATTGCTGAGTCCTGGGGCCTTGCAGAACAGGGCAATTGTACTGGTTTAAAAAAAAAAAAAAAACAACTTTTACTTTTAAACAGTTCATTCTTAAAACTAAATACCCCATGAGTTTAAAATAACCCATAAGCACAGTTTAAAAAAAAAGCTGTAAAGAGAGAAGTTCATAGAAAATAAATCCATGAAAAAACTGTTTTTTTGCTCTTATGAAAAAAATCCCTATAGCTTAACAAAATAAAACTCCCCTCCCTAAAATAAACTAAAAAAAATATTTAAATTAATAACTAAAATATTTTTATATATTATTATTTTTAAAAGTATTAAAAAATCTAAAAATTTTATTCTAAATTCATTATTTCTTTATATTATTAATAAAATTTTTCTTTACACCCTTGAAGTAGGGCAAGTTTAAAACTTATAATTCTATCTCACAGCAAAAAAAAAGATTATTTATTATTTATATTATTATATGAATATTATAAATATATATAATTTTTATTTTTATTATTGTGATTTATTATTTGAAATAAATATATTCACATGAACAAATCTAAACTACTACAGCAACAAGAGGAGATTTTGTCTAATCTAACTTTTAACCATCCTCTTACACTCCTTTGGGGGGGAAAATAAAAAAGTTGTGCTGAAATGGAAGTTTTTAGTGTGCATTTAGGAGGGGCCAGTGTGTCCTTTAGGTCCTGTGACTTTGGTGACATCGTGTCCCAGCTGCCTCTTCCTGATGCCTTTAGCTCTGTTGTGATGTCATAACTGGTTATAAAAAAATGAACAAATTGAGTTTGGGACCTGACACTTCTGCTACAAAATCTGTTTGTTGTTTTTTTTTTTTTTTAATATATACATTTTATTCTTTGTAGAAAATGTGATTTCTTTCGTTTTTTTTTCCCCTAAAAATGGTGATACTAATGAAAAAAAAAAAAATGACACCCCTTTTAAAAATTTTACTTTGAAGCTCAAGTGTTTTTACTTTTAGTTCTCTACTACCTCCCTCCCTTCTCCCTCCCTTCTTTGTTCAAATGGAGAGGATATAAGGAGAAATC